GCAGCAGCAGCAGCACCAGCAGCCGCACCGTCAGCAGCACCAGCAGCAGCACCAGCAGCAGCAGCAGGAGCTAAACCAGCGGCAGCAGCACTAGAAGCAGCAGCAACAGCTGCAGCAGCAGCAGCAGCAGCAGTAGCAGCAGCAGCAGCAGCAGCAGCAGCAGCAGCTAGAGAAAATATATACAAATTTGTTGCTGCTGCTGCTATCACCAGGAGAAGCAGCAGCAGCAGCAGCAGCAAGACTGCTGTTGCTTCTTCTGCATGTAAAAAATAGTATAATAAATAAATTAAATAAAAAATATTTTTATCGCAGCCTGAGGGTTTAGGGTTTAGGGTTTAGGGTTTAGGGTTTAGGGTTTAGGGTTTAGGGTTTAGGGTTTAGGGAACGGGGCTGTAGCAGCTAAGAGAAAGAGAACAGCTGCTTTTGTGGTGTATGTTCAGGTGAGAGTGTTTCGGTTGTTTATAAAGTTTAATTTGAACTTTTTTAGGGTTTAGGGTTTAGGGTTTATGATCGAGGGTTTAGGGTTTAGGGTTTAGGGTTTAGGGTTTAGGGTTTATAAGGAGCTGAGCTCCTCGCTCGCGCCCTTTTTTGTGTTTTTCTTCTGCGTTTTCTTTTTGTTTGTTTGTTTGTTTCTTTATTAAAATAAATTATTTTATTTTTATTATATTACTTATAATAAACCCATAGGGCCACGACAAAACCCTAAACCCTAAACCCTAAACCCTCGTAAACCCTCATAAACCCTCATCCCGCCGCTCGCGCTCCGCTTATCTTCTTTTTCATTTTCTTATGGATAGCGAGGCGTGGTTGCATATATTTGAGGGTTTAGAGTTTATATTATAATATATATTCTCTAGGGTTTAGGGTTTAGGGTTTAGGGTTTAGGGTTTAGGTTTTAGGGTTTAGGGTTTGGCGATGGATTCGAGTGTATTCGGAGACACTGCGGCAACGCAGACGGGGTCCCTAGACGACTGGTATTTCTTTGGTGAGGAGAGCAGCAGCAGCAGCAGCAGCAGCAGCAGCAGCAGCAGCAGCAGCAGCAGCAGCAGCAGCAGCGGGGCAGAGGACATGCATGTCTTTCGCCTGCGGCCTGAGTCTTACTACGAGACAGAAACAGCAACAGCAGCAGCAGCAGCAGCAGCAGCAGCAGCAACAGAAACAGCAACAGCAGCAGCAACAGAAACAGC